GAAGCCATCAATGATGTGTCAGAGTGATTTTGTAGTGCCCTTAGACCTCTTAGGACAAACAGTTTATGACATTTTGAAGATTGTGTCTATGCAGGACTAAACTTTTCTAGTTAGACCAACTTTTGGAGAAGCTTTAATAGCCTCTGGCATGTGTTCTTATGAGTGATTTCTCTTGGAGTTTGTGTTTGTAGGGCCAGAAAGTTTGGGTCAGACAGACCCAAACTCTTTCCTGATCAGACACAAGGCAGTGCTGGACTAGAACAAACACAGCTACTTTTGCAATCAAGTAAATGCACTCCATTTATGCAGATATTCCTAGCTAAAGACAGCCTTGGGAAATATTCTAACCGTTTATATTATCCTACCATTCTATTGGTGTAATAGTCTCCTGAGTTTTGGGGTTTTTTTTAATTCTCTCTTAGTCTTTCGTCTATTCCTACCCCAGATTTACTAGTCTGTATCTACATAGCTCTGTGTAAAGTATTAGAGCACTTCAGAGAAGGTGCTACTTTTCTGCTAGGACTTTGGAGAGCTGTTCCTTCTGCCCCAATCTATGATTAGAGGTTGTTAAATACCTGCTAGCTTGGTGAATGTTTAATACTTGAAGAGCCAATGTTCAGCCATCTTTTTATAATAGAGATTATTTTGGTGTTACACACAAAATTGCTGCAGGAAAGCCTGTGAGAAAATAAACACTTCTGTTTTTAAGACCATGTTTGAACACGGTGGATTAAAACAACAACAACAAAAAGATATAGGGCCTTCTATTGAGCAATGAAAAAGAAAAAAAAATTGAATAGCTGCTTGCTAACTCAGCAAAGCATGGCATCTATACCCAGCATGAGGCAATTTTGGTAGGAGGTATTTTGGAAAAAGAGTAATACGTCACCATGTAATAAAAGGTTTTGACACCTGTCATATACGCTATAAGGCTGAATTAACTTTGCCAAGCAGTTCCTGGCCTTTTATTAACTTTTTAATCCTTAGTACACACTGGGGAGGGGGCTTTTTTCCTTAGGTGAGCTAGGGAAGCACTGGGAACAGTGTGTTGTATTCAGGAGTACGGAGGAAATTGCACTTGGATGAATTACATGGGTGGTGAATTCAATTAGCCTTCCATTTAATTGAGTATTTCCATTTTTACATTTGCATGCATGGTATCAGAAGTGCAAATTTCTATCTGTTAATTATCTGCATAGAGAAGTTCTTTAAAGATGTGACTTGCATAAGCAACTCCCACTGCATAGACTCTAAAAGGAGGAGGATGTTAAAGGGATTGTAAAGGCCAGGGTGGTTACCTTGAAACAACACACATTTCTGCTACAGTTACATCTTCACATAACTCTCTTCAATCTAGATGGAGAAAACCTAATATAGCTGCGCTTAAGATTGAGTGGATGTCCTTTATGTTAAGGCTGCGAGCAACATACTAAGGATTAAGACATAAACTGTTCACTTAATGAGCTGTAATTGAGGGTAGAGGCTACATTCAAAGTTTAGTACCAAAACACAGTTTTTAAAAATGTTGTTTTGCTCATTTTTGTACAGGACTGTAGGGCTGTATCCTGATGCCTCCAGATTTGGAATTTTCTTTGCTGTTGTCTTAGCATCGCATATAATTGGTGAACTACTGACCCTTGTTATACTTGGAGTTGTTCAAAACCCAAATATAGTCCAAAGTGGAGTGGCACTGCTTAATTCAGCAGGTGTGATAGTGGGAACTGGACTAGTAAGGTAGGAAAAAGTTTTATCTCCTTATGGTGTTTGGAAACAAATTTAAGATAAAACTGAGCAATTAATATTAGCTCAGCTGAATTCTTTTACTTATGCTGATATTATCACACAAAATGCTGTTCTCATTAGAGGATTCTACAAAAAGAAATAACTGCTGGAACTTAATTAGGTATTAAACAGTAGGAATGATGGTTTCTTAAAAAAGCCCTTTTCAACTATATTTTTAGTGTTATTCTCCAGTTTAGTCATAAAACTTTTCAGACACTTTTTCAGTCTGTGCAAACTAAACTACATAAAAATAATAAAGTAGTTTAGTAAAAATGCAGGAAAATTCAGATCCACTTTCTCTACTGCTGTGCAAATAAATGTTTTGCATTGTAACTGCATGAACTTTGAACAGTTTTTCTCTTGTATTTGCCAATAGCAAAATTACTGGGTTTTGAGAAATACATCGTAATTGTCAAAAAAAGTTTTCTTGGGATGTTGAGCAAAGAGGATGTGCTCACCCGAGATCTTTCCAGTGAAAATGAAGTAAGCCTAACACTAGATGATGTCAAGTTGTCTTGAAGAAAAGCTGATGAAGCTTTGCCTCTTCACAGTGGATCTCAGCAAATACTTGCTTATCAAATAAAACTAAGTTCATATCTAATTAGTTTGGTCCCTACCTTATAATCTCAGGAAGACACATGTTTATAGTGACAAGACAGCAACTCCCCCTACCATAATGCCTTAATGATGAGCTTTAAAAAATATTAAAGAGGTTTCTAACCTTATTTTACAGTAGAGACATTGCTAATTAATATTGCGAATCTCTTTGATTAAACTTCATAGGCATTGAAGGATATTAAAAATAGCACTGAGACTGGAGTTGCTTTTTTTCTATTTTTTTAAATTCTAAAGTCTTGCAGTATTTTAGGTGCAGAAATTGCCCAGTCTTGTTGAATGATGTTACTTCAAAGTTTTCATATTCTGTTTCTTATTATTCTTTGATTCATTTTTGTATTGTTATGATTGTTCCAGTGAACTGTTATTCTTAAGTCTTCTTTGGTTTTGAAGATGGAGTGAGGGGGCAGACGTTTCTTACTTTAGAAGCAACACATTTTTGCAACTAAGGTTTATATTTGGTCTTGTCATGTTCCATTTATCACTGCAATGTGAATATCAACAAACTTCATAGATTATTTGTGACTGTCCATAGATAAGTCAGGGCTGAACATTATGACACTGTACTAAAGTCAAGAGACAGTTTTCATGGTTGTCTGATGTTTGAAAACCCTACGTGTACAGCCAGGAACTCTGTCTGTAGCAGGCTTTGACCAAAGATGAGAGCTTGTTTTAATTTGGGGTAGAATTGGCTCTTGGAATGTAGCAAAAGTCAGTTTCACTTCTGTGTTTCTTTAAGGACCATTGAAGACATGCCGACGCCTTTTAAAATACTCAGTTATCTTACCTTTCAAAAATACAGCAGTGAAGTTCTTGTAGTTAATGAATTTTATGGCTTAAACTTCACATGTGGTAAGTGTTCAAAAAAAAAATAAATCAACCTCTAAGCCTATTGTAAATAATTTTAATGAGATATCAATGCTTATTTTCCTTCTACGTACAATAAAAGTATGCCAATAAAATAAAGATAACTTGAGAGTTGTTTAAAAAAGCTTATTAATTAGTAAAGACTATAACACCACAACAGCAAGCTAGACAAAAGGTTGACCTTTTTTTTTGTTTTTCCCAACCATTTCTCATTCTTTCAGTTTTTCATCTTTCTTTTCTTCACCTGCTCTATTATCCCCCCTTTGGGGGCAGTTTGGAAGGTAAACTTTGCAGCCTGTTATGAGCTTATCAGAACAGCGTTACACAAATAGAAGATCAATAGAATTACACAATGTAAGCTCCAATGTCAGAGCAGGGAGCACGGGCAGGTAGCGCCTGACCAGTGGTTCCCCTAAGGCCAGGGAAGCTTCAGTTCAAGTATGTTACCATGGCCTGCACTGAGCAGCTTAGATCTGTCAAGGTGTGCTTGGCTGGTTGGGAGTAAAGTAACTGCAAAACCTAAGAAACCATCAGGTTGGCAGGGGAGCAGCCAACATCCGCCAGTGGGGGTGAAACTTGCAGCTTTGGCCCTGCCCTCAGATATTTTTGGCTCTTTAGCCAGGTGTCTGTGCTCCTCTCCGAGGCTGGTATTCTGTAGCCATTAAGTCTCTCCTGTCCCTCTTTATTACGAGAGCATAGGTGGCAACTTACAAAATGAATCCATTACTTTGGCAGTAATCAAACAGCTGATTTTTAATGTGCCCTTCAGACAGACTCTAATTCTTAAATGTTTGAAACACTCAACAAATATGAACATTGCAAGTCTACCATATGGGCAAATTGCATCCTGAGGCCTCCTCCAGATAATGTGTCTGAAAAGCCATAAATCTTCTTTTGTTTGGCATGAAGAAAAAAATATTGGCTATATTAACTGCAGAAACATAGCTTGTCTGTTCTTAGTCCAAAATGATGGGAAATATTGCTGTGGGTATAGTTCATTAAAGTAACATTAGGGCTAGGAATATTAAATGTATGAGCTAGATATTGAAGTCTGAGTTTTAATTTTACTGATTCACCTACTAAAGAAATTAATAAATCTTTTCTTTTGACAGGTGAAGCCAACAGTTCCACTGCAAGCAATGCTGCATGTGTTTTCTCTCATGGCATTCAGTTCATTGAAAAAAGCTTTCCTGATGCATTGTCCCAGTTCACACTTCATTTCTTAATACTCTATGCTTTTCTACCAGGACTTGCCATTGTAGCAATTCTGAGCTTCAAATTAAGAGAGAGAATTATTGACAGGCAGTAAAAAAGTAGCAGTGCTAATAGTGGCTAATACACACTTTTAACTGTTGTTGAAGGCTTTTAAGGATTTTAGAATTTAAGTGATTACACGTACAGAAACACATTCATCTTCTCATGTTTATACCTGGATGTTTTCCATCTTCTCTGAAGACAGTGAATGGCTTCCTGCTACTGGTATTTCCATCTCACATCCAAATCAGCCATAATCAACAGTATTAAAGTTTTAAAGGACTTTTTGAATTTAATTTACTCACCCGTTGCTGTCAGTTTTTAACAGTGTATCAATGGTGCTCTGATTTTTTGTTTTGCTATTTTTTTTTTAACCGTTACCAATAAGCAGAGGGGTATAACTGCTAGTAAATCATGTTCCTAGAAGTCATGCGTAGAGCAGAAGTGTTCAAAAAGAAATCAAATAATGTGTTACAAAATAGGTAGAACTGATTAATGCCAGTCTTCATATTCAAACCCATCTCTGAACAATCTAGGATTCCTTTCTCCCCACTGCTTAAAACTGTCAGAACCAGGATGTACTTAAATTCGAACTGAATGGATAAACAACTATTTTTATTAAAAACAGTAACAGGAATGCTTAATAAATACTGATTTTGTAGTTTGCTATTCTATATTGTCAAGTGCAACAGATTACATTGCTAGTGTAATGTTAAAATTATGAAAGTTCTTTTGTAAATGTTAAGCTGAAGACAGATAGTCGTTCATCAATCAGGGTCAAAATCCATTTCTTTCCAGGATTTAGAGGCATTTCTTTTGTATTGTTCAAGTTCCTAAAACAGAAACATACATAGATATTAATCTGATCTCTTCATTACTAAAAGTGATGATACATACATTAGCCGCTCGAACATTTAAAGCATGTACAAACATTTTTCACTGTAGAAATAACGTATTATGTATTTTTATCTTTAACAAAATTATACTAAGTGAGCTGCAAATTTTGCCACATTTGCTCACATAGGGAGCTAGATTTTATTTATTTAGGTGTAGATACTCACTAGAGAAGAAGAAATTTTGTGTCTTTTGATAAACATTCAATTTGAGAAACCAGGCTCCCTAGGAATATACAGAAATGTTAACACTACATGTGTTTTAAAAACAAAAACCAGAATTACCCAGAGGAAACTACTGTTTCACACACACCAAGTCAGGGCCCTTACAGAAGCAAAATGGATTGGCAATTTCCTAACATTAGGGAAAAGAAACCAAAAGAACAAAGCCTTATTTCTTTTTTTCTGTTTTTTAGTACAGGACTGAAATGAACTTTTGTAAGCTTACACATCACCAGTGGTGGTAACTTCGAGAGCTACCAGCGGGCCTTAGAAATCCCTGCAGAGCACAGGCGTGTGCAGAAAGCAGAAATGTATTTTAGAGGGTGTTTAGGAACTCAACATAGCATAACCATTTCATCTACGGTATTGAATATTAGTGGAAATATTATTCATCATTGCTTGGGGGTTTTCAGGAAATGTATTACTCATGACAGACAATGATGCCATGCGTTTACTTTTGTTTTGGTTTTCAATTAGTAGTTAAAATATTCTTTCAGGTGTCATTGGTTAATAGATTGAAGAATTAGCACCTGAGTGTAAAAATAAAACAAAGCCCATGTGGTAATTAAAATTACTCATCTTCTAGGTAATAATTAGATTATTAAGAGCAAGGAGAGGCTCAAATTGTGGAGGTATAAATAAAGCAAAACAGGAAGGAAAGAGGAGGCAATCTACATCATGCTAATCTTTTGGTCAAAAGTGCTACTGGGAATTTTGAAGCCTATAACAAAAGGTTCTAGCAGTGTTACCAAACAACAGCTTCATCTTCTGAATTTTATGTATTGGCACATATGGTCAGGAATTATTTCTGAAGATTTTTTTTTTTCAGCAAAAATTTAATTTAGAAAGCACTGTGATGGCTTTTTGCCCATTTAAGAGTAAGAAGGCTTCCAATGTATTTGCAGGAAGATGATTCTCTACTGAGGTGACAGTTAGACCTAACCATCTACTGCTCGCAATGCCAACAACTGTCATCATATCCTCCTTGCACCAGAGGTGGAAATGAGCAGCCACCAGCGATTAGTAGAAATGTAGCAAAGACCCTGAAAAGCAGGCATGTGTTTCATGCGATTACTATTCTGATTTTAATGGAATGGACTTAGCAGGGTAAGGGAGGTTTCACTGCAGGTGTACAGACACTAGAAGGGACAAAAATAACAAAATTCACACCTGGTGAATTTAACAGAAATATTCATTCTCAGTCCAAAGCACAGAGGGAAGAAGAAAAGAAAGGGCAGAGCAACAAAGAAATCATAATCTAAAAACTGTATGGAAATAATAAATGGAATTTTCTCTCTCTCAGGAAATAATTTCAGCAGCTTTGTCAGCAGAGCAAAATTTTCAGAAAGCACTACAGGTTTGTGAGCAATAACAGGATTTTTAATTAGTGCATACTCTCCATAATTCTTGCAGGAGTCTAGCTCTACAGTCAAGTAACTCCTGGATGACTGACACAGAACATGTTGTGTCTAGTCTAAGCCTAGTAAGTTGCATTATTAAATACAGCTCTGGAACTACTGAACTGTGCCATCTCTGAGCCAGTCTTTACTCAGTATTTTCACTCCCTCATTATTAATGTAAAATAATGATGATCTTGGAACATGCTGAACGGTTGGAAACTTGCCAGCAGTTAGGAAGAGAAAGAATTACTGTGATATTTTAAGCAGCACATGTAACCTGATTTATGCTAAGTAAATAATTTCAACTCTTAACAACTTTCTCAAAGGCTGCGGGAAGGGGTAAAATTCGACAAGGAAGTTTTATGTATAAAGACAATGCTGCCTGGGGGTCATGTCTACAGGTGTTGCCTAAATAGTCTTACAGATTTACCATCTGACTGAACTGTTTCAAGAAAGAGGCAGGATAATTTAGCAGAATTTATTTTGCTGAAATTTTAGCTCACTAGAAAGCAATTCAAAACAATACAGAAATGCAAAGCATCAAAACCACAGCATATATTAAAACTGTATCGCTATTCCACTACATACAGAAGTACCGAACAAAATGAGAAATACTTATTTTGGAGACATAACTAGGTAAGGCTAGCATTTAAACAATGAGAAGTGAAAGAAAAAAAGGTGAGGGGGCTTAAATGGGATGATATTTACAAAAATAATCTTTAATAAATTAGTGATTCAGGAGGAAAAATGCTGTCAGGAAAGGACACTTCCTTAGTTTTCATGTAAAATAGAAAGTAAAATAAATGCCCATAAGTCAGAAATGTAATGGAAAAAATCTTTCAAATACAGCTGAAAGATCACTCCAGAGACCCTCCTGAAAAAGGGTACCTTCCTGCTTATAAAGTCTTATACTGCAAACATAAGCAGAATTCTGCAATACACTGTAACTGCACAATCGGATAAGAGATCCCCTCTCCAAACTGCAAGAAGATCCTAGGAAGGAATAAATCTGAAAGTACAAGTGTAGGGGCAGAGATTAATTTACAAAGAATTAACAATTGCCCTTTCAATATGCTCTGGGTGTTTTAAACATTGAGTGCTAGCAACTTGTCCTCGCTGTCTCAACACTGACAAAGTGGATTTTTACTTTTTTTTTTAAACCATAATGCTTCTGTATTTGTGTTTCTGTAAATTCTTCATCTGCCAAATGGGGAAGATCCCACCTCACCTCATAAAGGGATTGGGAAGAAAGACTTAACTGATGTTTATGAGGCACTGAGATAAGATAACATTACCACACATTCTCAGAGAGGAAAAAAAAATAATACTTTTGTGTTCATTGAAGTTTCTGAATGGCAGGTTGAGAAACAGGGTACACAAAGAATAAGGATGATGAAAAGAAACACTGAACAATTGAATTGAGACATCAGCAAACTGGTATATGATCATAGAATTAAAGACAATACTATAATGTCTACAAACAAGGAGGAAAAATTAAGATTGTGGGAAAAGCCTTAATTGTTGTGTTTCCTCAGTGCTGAGGGACTGACGTGACTTTCACTTTTTTCATGCAGTTTCTTACTGCAAGTGCCCTTAATCTGGAACACGGTGAAAATAACCAAGTACTGAAACAAGGATTAAAAATCTGAAGCACCTAAACTTCAGTAGGAAGACTGTGTGAAGAGTTAACAGCAAGGTACATGTTTAAGGCCTAATAAATATGCAAGATTGAACGTTTTTCTTGAATACTGAAAGCCCTCTAAAGAGCAGAAAATGCCAGTAATTCCCAGAGCCAATCTGCTAGTTAAGAAAAGCATCAGAAGTGTAAATTCCACAAAGGTCCCTGGTGCTGTATTCCATCTCTCAGAGCTTAAGTCCAAAGAATGAAAAAGCAGTCACCAATTGCACCAGCACTATTTGATACAAACCTCGTCACTGTATGTCTGTGTGGTAAGAAACAGGAAGAGAATTTTGAAAATACATAGTTGAGAAAGAGAGCTGCGCTGTGTCATAACCAAAGGCACAGTGATTAAGAGAGCCCCAGAGAGCTTTCCAGAGCAAAGAGGTCTGGAAATAGTGGTACATCTCATAGTTAACTCTGAAAATATGAAGGAGGCAAAATAGTCTGGTCTAAAATAAAATGCTCTCCTCACAGAATGCTGAGTTGGACTGCTCTGCAGCCAAAAAGTGGATCAGATAACTACAACCTGACAGCTTAGTACAGGAGAGTGAGCCAGGTACTTTCTGTATTTTTTTAAAAACTCTTTTCTAATTTTATACTCAAGAATTTAACCTCTTAGTCTGCTAGTTTACAAACCCTGGCTGCAGACAAACCCTTCAGCCAAGATTACAAAGTTGGAACTGATTAAATTAAACCACACTGAGCTATAAATCTATTACAGAATTACTACAATCTCTTACAGTCCTGACCAAGACTGAGTCAGACAGGGGCTATATTTTGTTTCTGTTGCTATGTCTTTGTATTTCTTTTTCCTTTAAAGCTTATCTTTGAGATAAACAGGCAAACTGGTTATCACCTAGAGTCCAAAGTAGCATATTAATTAACCAGAAGTAACTGAGAAAAATTATAACATGCACTTAAATGATTTTGAAATACACACTGTCATCGTACGAAACTTTCATTTTGCATTATGTCCCAGATTTCATTAGTAATGTGTTGCATATTAGATATGTTAATATACTGTTCCTCCTGCACAATAACCATGAGACTTTATGAAGAATGTCAGACTTATGATGCATTTAAAATGTTGCCTTAAAATAGGATTTTTGTGCCAATTTTCATGTAACTGGAAAATCCAAAGACGCTTCACGACTCACTGCAACTACAGAGTTCTTTTCTTTTAGATGTAGATTGCTATCTTGGTGCATTTCAAATTGAATTAAATTCTTGGAGTATAAAGCATTCTAATAATGTGCAAATAATCTTGTAATAATTGAACTTCACAATAGAGAAGTTTAGGAAATAGCTTGAGATAACGAAAGTAATTTTCTCTTTAATGCTCAAATTACTTGTAGAAGTCCAACTAAAAGAAGCTACACTGGTTTGCAGTGCCCTTGAACAGATAAAGATTCTAAAAGCCTGTCTCTTTTGTTTAAAAACAGAAAATTAATGACTTCCTGTGGGATTTAATCAATGCATACCAGTATTTTCTCTTGTATTATCTAAAAATAACAAACCTAGTACACCATGTAGTTATTTTGAGTTATAAAGTTATACTGAGTACAAGATTACATTATAAATTCCAAAAGCAGTGTGCTTTACAAATTTTAATGATTTCTAAGACTGCTCTTGATGTAACAGAAATTCAGAACTGATGCCTACGCTAACAGGATAGTACAGGTAACGTGCAAGTTCAAAGACTGCAGGGGATTCTTGAAATTGCTTTATTCTTTTACATTATTAGTGTATTTCTTTGGATCAGGTAACTACAGGTTTCCTACCTCGTGCAATCTAACTAAACTACAAAACTGTGATAGGGTTAATAATCTAATCCTTTGGCTTTCTTTTACAAGCATGCAAAACGATGAAATTTGCCACGGTATTTTAGGGTTAGTTGAGATGAACTGCAGTGCAATTCCACACAACTGCCTTTCATCTTAAGAGTGCAGGTCTGTAAAAGCACACAAGATCTAGGTGGGTACACGCTGTCATCTTAAAGCACTGTCAGAAAAACCTTTAACTGCAGCAACTTGGTCCACAGAGAAGTGAAATGGTGTACAAAGCGTCCACAAATAAGCTGTGAGAATAGAGTGGAAAGCTTCTCTGTCATTCTAGCAAAGAATTTTTTGTGTGTGAAACAAATGAAAATATATATATATATATTTATATATACTTACTCTGAAAACTCTCTATTTCATGAAAATCTCTATTCTATGAAATAGAGAGTTTTCAGAATAAGTATATGATACTTCTTCCAAACAAAGAAAAATACACAAGTCTTGGATGGATTTTATCAGACCTGTACCTGTGACACTGATGTAGACTGCATACAGTATTTCTGCTCATGTGATGTTATACACTGATATCTATAAGGCAGTGTTCTATCTTCATCTAGTTTGCCATATAATTTTTCTATTCATTTTTTCTATTAATTTTTTTCTATTTCTATTAATTCACCACAAATGTAGAGAAGTGCAGAAACACCTCAAAATTAGTAAGAAAAAATGTAAGACCCTTTCTCCACTAAAGGTCTGCCTGGGAACTCAGGGGTTAAGCCAAATATTGCTATGTGAAATAATTCCATTCGCTCTGTTTAAGATAAACCATACATAGCCTGCAAACTTGAGCCAGAAATGCAATTATCTCAGCACCTATCCAGTTTAAATAAAAAGTTTTGAAGGAAGAAGACAAAAATAAAAAGTAAACAACACCCACCCCAAACCTTGATACTGCTTCCTGTACTTCCTGCCAGGCAACACCCAAATGAGAATACAGGGTGCAGAAACGAAGAAATTACTGCCCAGAAAGCTTTGCAGCTTTGCTTCAATATTATTTTAGTGAAACTATTCTGGAAGAGAGCTAGAGGGAAAATTTGAATTATTAATTTCTAAAGAAATCACAGAGCCAAACCTTTAAGATTTAACAATGCTCTACCTGCTTAATGTGTACCAATGGGAAAAAAAAACAAACCCAAAAAGTACTAAGTTGAAAGCTAAAGTTGAAGTTATTTAAAGGCAAAAAGGGGTCTGCAAGTATATTCTACAATTAATTCAGCAATGCTGGTGGTTCTGGAATAACTGACTGTGAACAGCAACAGGAAAACAACCACACACCTGGTTTTTCTGAGCTCTCATCACATCAACTTCATACTCAGTGTACTGTAAATCCTGTGCAGGGTCCTTGGTATCTTTTAAATCGTGGCAGCTCTAAAAGAAGAAATTATAAACTTTATCATTTGAGTTTTTTTTCCTTCTGTTCTTTTAGCAATGCCAGTCCGTAGATCTAATGGAAGTATTTTGCTTTTAATACAAATGTATTAAAATCCTGCATTTATGTAAGAATTTTGTGCTATCGGGCACAGATTAGATAAAATATACTATATATTATCTTAGATTGGTAAAATGATGACAAAGGAATAGTGCAGTTAGATCTTAAAGGAAAGAAAATATTCTTATTTGGTAGTTGCTTATTATTCTCTCTGGCCCACAACATTAGGGTTAAGGTTGCTCTCACTAGAGCGTTTAGATACTCAAGACTATGATTCTGTTCCAGTTACCAGAATTGTTACATTAGTATCTGAGAAACTGATTACTATCTTTTCTCCAAACACCCGAAATTCCATTTACTAACCTTGAGGGAACTTTAATTCCAAAGAAGTAAATACACCAAAAGAAAGAAACACTACCAAATAATTTTTTAAAATGTTGTCCTTCAGATTTTTCCTTACTCATAACAAATGCAAAGTAGCAATAAGTCAATAGTACAAATCATGGAATAAAATAAAACAGAATTATATTTATTATGACATGAGGTGATGGAAAAAGAACTTTGCAATACATAAAAAACAGCTTTAAAGTATAAAGCATATTTTGGAACCAAAACTCAAGACTGGGAATATACTTGGCAAATCTTTAATTTGACTGATACCTTAGAACACTGATGGAGTTTGCAAGTTGAGAAATGTATTCAGTTTTCCAGCTGTTTCAGGCGGAGTTTGGGAGTTATGGCATGGGGGCATCAGGGAAGGTTTGTTTATTGTGTTTTAAAAGGCTATGAGCAAAAGTTACAGGAAAAATAACAGTCCTCTATAGTTTTTGAAAAGTAAAATTTTGTCTTTATCGTGTTGAGGCATACTGTTCTGAGAATGGAATCTCTGATCATTTCCTCTGGTCACCAACCACCTGAAATAATTTGTTGACTTCGATATGTAGCAGTGACATGGGTGGGAAAGGGTGAACTGAGACGACTCCTCACCAAGAATGGAGAGCCACGGACTGAAAACTAGAAAAAGCCCCAGTTGTGCACCATAATTTGAGGCACAGTTTCATAGCCCTAACTGACTTCTCCGCCTGCCCAGGTAAGCCACAGGGCAGGAGATGGACAGGGATAAAGAACTGTGATACAATTTAGTGCATGAGAAGAAAGCAGCAGCCTGCATTTACTCATGTCAAATAGAAAAGAATTTTGATTACAACAATAGCAATTACTTTGAAAAAAATCATTTGGGGGTTTGCCTCTTGGGACCAGAAATTTCTGAAATATGTACAAGATACATCACTACATAGGTGTCAAGGGATTGTAATTACCTTGCAAATTCAAACACTGTCCATAGCAAAATGACAGATTTTGACAAGGAACTCCTAACACACTCTCCTCATTCAAAGCCTCATGCCATGGGAGAAAAAGGATCAGTAGCCTGCTACAGCCAGGAAGAGCTCTCACCTTAGAACATCACTCTCATTTGGTTTAGGCACTGGGGGATAGGTCACCTTATAAAATTCCCAAAACATTGCGTGTAATTTGCCTCAATATAATGAAAGGAAATGATACAACTTTGAAAAAAACAGAGGATTACATCAGTATTTTCATTATTGCTAAATGTAGGAAAGATGACTGAAGATACAGAAGCTAACAATCAAAGCACCACTACACACAAATCTGTATCTTTTAAAAATGTATGAATTAAAGAGATTGGAAGAAACAGAACTGCTAAGTGAGACTGAAATTCCAGTGATTGGACTTGAAAGACAAAAAATAGTAGCGATATTAGTGCTATTTTAGGAGAAAACCAGCTGTGCAGCAGACATGTAAATACCTACCTTAGGAGGAAATGTTTTCTCAAATACTTTTTTCCACAGTTCCAATGGTGTGTTTGCACGCACCTTTCCAATATCACTGTCAGAGGCAGGTGGTGGTCCTAAGGATTACAGCACAGTACAAATTAATACAAGTATGTTGTCATAACAACATAAATTATCACAGCATTTAGCATAATGAGCCATCTAATTTAATATTTTCTCTTCTACAGTGACAAGCTGCAACAAGTTTGAAAAAAATATTAATCTCCTACCATGAAACAGGCTTAGCAGTACTGTATATTATATTTTCTTTTAAATCTAAGTAAGCTTGTTGGTACTTTACTATTTGAAGTAGTAGTCCTGATACTTTATTAAACTACCTAACAACACTGCAGAAGTAATTCTCAATAATATAAATACTGGATCATAATTTAAAACTTTCTGAGCCATTTCCTTCAATATTTTTTTTAAAACTGGTGCTGAAATGCTATAATTTAACTTTATTTTTTATTTGCTTAACATTTTTTTCTCACTTTCAAAAAGAATTAAGCAACAAATACAACGAACAGGAAATGTCCTAACCTATTTGGCTTAGTGAATCCAGGCCTGCTGGTATGAATAGCGGTTTGCTGTGATCCACTGATACAGACTTGCTAAACAGAAAAAAAAAAACATAAGGTGAGCATTTAGCAATCACCATAAAATTACATTCCTCTAGCCAAGACTAGACACTTACTGAGATTTGCATAGAAATACATGTAAATAAAAATCTACTCAGTTCTTGTGTTTCTAATTCATCAGTTTTGGGATCAAAACCAAGGAGTTATCACTGTCCTGTGCAGAAAGGCAGCTGAGACACAGGAGTAAAAGTACATCAACAAGAATCTTTCAGAGATCATAGTTTTTTAAAAAATAACATTTTGGTGATTAAAATATTTTTATTAAGTACTTTCAGACTCTGGGCAAGACATTTAATAGCTGGGCAATAACTACGTTACCTTCTATCATAGCCAAATGCCAAGTGATTAATAAGAACACGAGCTTTCAGCAGAAGAGCCTCAGATTTACTGGTAAACTAAATGAATCAGAAAACAAAATACACATTATGATCTTCCATCATAAAAATATTACATTATGTCATCTGCACAGATTATTTCAGATAAACGTTGGCTAATTCCTGACCTCAATAAATTTAGTATACATTCACTGAATTTACTAGAATAAAAATCCCACTCTCCCTTTTAAAAACCTGAATATATTTGTCTCTGAATATATAGATCAAAAAGATTAAATGAGTAACAGCACAAATAAAGATTAAAGGATAAATTTTAAAATATTGATTCACAGCTTTTGAAGCATGCACATTAAGAGACACAGATCTTTTGCCCAAGATTAATGAGTTATTAAAATTTTAAACTACATTAAAAACTATCCAGAACACCATAAATATCTAAAAATTAAATGAGTAACTGTAAAATTGTTCATACATCACAAAAGCAGCTTGATAGTGCCAGAACTGGCACAGATTTAACAGAAAGCAGCTCCCAGAATATGTTCTCAAACAGCGAACTTATTCCTGTCTGAGGGCTTTTGTATCCTAACAGATTGATGTCTTTGAGAAAGAAGTCAGATCCCGACTGTGGGAAATGAGGTTTCTCCCACTCGTTTCAATGGGAATTAGGATTTAGCAGCCAAAGAGTTTTAGGATTCTAGTTTTTAATTTTAATTACAATAATGCTTAAATACTTTAAAAAAGTTAAATCAAGACAGTTGTATTCTCAGTTAACAAAAGACAAATTCATGTGTCAGTACAAAAGCTGTACAGCTTTACATGGATGCAAAAGGGCTTGCTGTAATTATAAAAATTTAAAGCAAACATAAGTTGCTTGGTAATCAAAATAAGCCACTATTAAATATTATTTATAACATAAATTATGGCTGATACAGTTAGAACAATCTTCTGATGTAGAGAGAGCCCAAGAGGCAGCTTTTCTGGATTGTGAACCTGAACATGTATGTTTCTGCCTTTACTCAATCTGCCAAACTCAAAATCAATTTATGTACCCACAGAAATACTTCACTGACCTCATGATTGGCAGTTCCTACTCATTACTGTAAAAAAATCCCTGCCTTTATTTTTCAACACTGTAAGTGTGGTAATATGGTGTGCTTAACACTGCTGTTACATCCAAGGTCTCTCAAAGTTTTTAAATCTACTGAAGCCAGGTCACTAGACATAAATTCACGCTTCTGCCAAAAAGTCCAGTTCTCTAATTCTATCTAGGGCAATCAATTTTTCCTCATCCTCCTTTCTTGTAGCAAAAAAAAAATTGCCAGACTTGCAGTAAACTCAAGATGAGTTTAAAATAAAATAAAAAAACCTGAATTGGCTAAGAGATTATTATTTTAATATAGTTTTTGCTGATACTGGGAATTACGTCGTTTGTTTGTTCACAAGATATATCCATCCATCCCCTGCCAATACCTGTAACCTGTTTGACAGAATAGCTCATGAAGAAAGCTACTACAAAACAAATTAAATCTCATTTTCTGTAGGAGTTTTGAATTTCTGTTTTTTAAAATATTGCTTTGTAACACAAATATTGCTCATGTTCTCTGTTCTTAGGTAGAAAGTGAATATACACACCACTAATGATGCTCCATAATAATGTGCAACAAATCGAAGTGTCTTGCTTATTATTTTCCTCATTTCAGAGTCAAAGTCCTGAAAAAGTTGATATTGGAACATATACATAAGAAACAACATAAAAAAAATTACAGCAGAACTTCACAATTTTTTGTACAAACTGCAATGCACTCAAGCTACAGTATCTGAGGCTTTCAGCTGTCAGCGTAATTATATCTTAAGACAGAATCAGTAACAGCCTACTCTGAAAAGAAATGTCACAATTTCGCTTTGTTTCTTTTTTACAGAGGGAGCTTAATTCAGGTAATGTGTTAGTCCAGAAGAAGTTTCTTAATAGGGAATATGTATTCAGTTTTCAATTAATGTGTTTTATTTTGTTTTAAATTTTTAGAAGTGGAAATACTGCCTACTAGAAGAAGAAGGATTTTTACTTTTTGGGAAAATATTTAATTTCAGAAAAACTTTGGGTATATGCTAAGTTCTAATATCCACAAGATTTGAAAGATGCATAAAAATACCTTTTCATCAATGTTTCTTTAATATAAGATGATACAGATGGCCTTCTTCTCTGCATAAAGTTGGTAAAAACCTAGTCAAAATGAAGCCTGCAGGAGTCTGTCCAAAGACCCCAATGACTTATTCTGTGCTTATTACATGAGAGTCGCCGATTTTTAAAGTGGTTCAGCATAAAGCCTCAGTATGAAAGAAGGCCCAGTACCTTATTAAAGAATTAAGTAACTCTCAGAGTCAGTTAAGGATCTGTGCAGTCATATGCATCACTATGCAGTCATCCAGAGAAGCGCAGGCTGCCAGCACAGCAGCTGAAAATCAAACACTGTTCTAGATTCTCATGATCAAGTGCTGCTTGAAAACTGGGTATGCATTTGTTTGGATTTTCCGTGTCCTGGGAAAGAATCCAGCAGTATTATTACATTTCTTTCCTCTCCCCCCTAAAAGATGCAATTACTCACTTGTCTCTAAAAATATAAGAGGTACTTAAAACAAAAGTTGCAGACTGAAATGACAGTTTACTGTTTGTGCTGCTGCAGCTACCAAAAATCTGATCAACTGACATGAGAGATGCCCCTTTTTTACTGCCGTGCAGTTGCAGCTGCTGTCAGTAGGGAAGGGAACATGGAGCTGGACTTCTCTCATTATAAAAGAAAGTCATCAACATGATGTTTTCTTGCTTCCCTCCTTGGTCTCCAGCAACTTTTATCTCAAGACTTTCCAAGTATATCTCAAAAATCATCAGTTTGGGAGTGTTCTGTGAAGGAATGACAGTATGCCTTCTGTAATGCCACTGGATGGAAGGATTTTGTTTTGTGATAGAAGGCTGACTGGCCATGCTTTTGTTCAAATTATTTCTTTTACATTACTTAGAGTTTATTATATAGAATCTTTACCAGGAATCTTTTCATGACTAAAAAAAAATAATTACTTACATTAAAAATATCATATTTGCTTCCAATTATCACCAAGGGTATTGGAAAAGGGTCAACTAACTCATAATCCTATTAAACAGATATATAAGAGTTAAGCAGTGTAAACAAGTTGTAGAAGATTGCAACAGTTAGAACAACTGAAATGAGGTAAAATTCATGTACAGAAGACAAAGTCTGTTCTTTCAAAACCTTATGTTAGAGGAATAAATTTTAATGCAATATCCTTATTCTACAGTTTACTCATTTTCTTCATAAATGGTTAGGAAATAATCCCTCTGAGCAGTGAGAACACTTATTGACAATAAAAGGGCTCTGGCATTATATACTCCAGCTCCGACATTAGATGGGAAGGGAAAGGGGAAAAAAACCTCATAAATTCACAGAACAACTGTCAGTTCAGATTAGTAGAACTGGTGCTCTGACATATTTCCCCCTCCTTGCATCACATCCGTAATAATATAGACAAAAGCTCAAGAAAAAAATTTGCTTGTGTCACACATTTGTCTTTTTCACACACTCTTTTCCAAACTCTCTTAAAAATATTTAATGTGATTTTCAAATGTTTGATATGAGCAGAAAGAGGAAAATGTCACCTAACAATCATGTAAATGCAAATCAATAGCAATGGAACAAAATGGCTCCGAGGATGTAGAAGATGTAACTGTTAAATGGATAACCTCTGATAAAAGTTTTAGTAAATAGATTACAACAAATCTCAAGTTATCTGCAAGGTTTTCCCATAGTCTACATGGAATGAGACTGTCCCCTCCAGTGTTCACACAGTGATTTAGTCAAGCTGCTTTTGTTGCAGCAGAGTGGAAAAGAGAGGTGTTGTAGCAGAGGTTGATGTAACTTCTCCCTTCTAATGCCAGTTATTTCACATATGGGTTAAATGACAGTCAGGGTATTAGCAAGAAACTGCAAACACTGAAAATCGTCCACTTTGAGAAGAAAAATGAATGGCTTCACTCATACACTGTAAAGGCAAAAGCTTTGGGCAAAATTATCATAACTTAAAACTGTGTGTATAGAACTGAAAAATAATAGTGTTAGTTTCTTAACTAAGAAAAAAAATAATTTGGGATAACATCAGAAACATTTAAAGTGGCATAATGAACCCTATTCATCTCTTGACTATGGATTTAAGTTTTGACTATGGACTAGTTTAGGTGCATCCAGGCTTTTTAATCAAGGTCTGCACTTGATATATTCACGCTTTAGCATCATAATAGCCAGTAATCCTTTATCCAGACTAGTGGAATATACCTAATCCTTAAAAAAAACCCCTCCAAGAACCTCAACAATTCCTGTTCATCATAAAAACATGGTAACTATAAAAATGCAAATAAAAATCTCAATAAACTGTCATTTATTTTTTTTATTATAAAAGACAGTATTTCTTCTCACAAAACTGTCAGAATTTTTTTCTTGAAAAATTGTGAAAGTTTAAAGAGAACCCAGAATAATATAGCAATTTGTTTGCATCCTTTCTGGTTTTGATAATGAAGGCTGAATAGAAATTCTAGTTTAGAAGGTATAATGTTGTTCCCTACTAGGCAAGTACAACAGCTCTTCTTCACAATGAATGGCGTTACTCTTTTTACTTATTGTAAAAAGGTTGTGGTTTTCTGACACGTAAGCCCCTGTATGTAAACTTGTCCCTGCGGTCATGATTTGTTGCCAAGTGTGCATGTAGGCATTTTCTTTTTGTGAACTACTTTCTCTAAAAAGTAAAAGCCAAAATCATAATCGTGCAGATCTCAAACCCTATAGTCTAAATCTACTGAGCGTTGCATATATTGCTTTCTCAAAAATTCTAAAAGTTACTTTTCAATTATCGAGCTATATAAGCATTTGCTGTATTGCAGCATTTTATAGCAGTTACAGTAACTAGATTTATGTGCCAAGTCTTTGAATTGTTGAATACTTATTTGTGCATTATATACACACAACATTTGCAGAGGTTTAATGCACAATGACTTTTCATTTCTATTGCGCATAATCTATTTAGCTTTTGCAGAGATTTAGTTAGCAATTATGTTTAAAGGACTGATGTTAACATTTCTGAAACTTTATAATTTAATTAGTTGTCAGATTATCAAAAGGCATTGAGTTTGTGATAGACATTTAAATAAATGCAAAGTATATAGTCATGTTGATGGCTGTTATAACTATATTCTTTGCTTAAATTTGTACCTTCAGCTAGTCTCTTGCTAGATGACTTTTGTACATTCTAGTTTTCATCTTCATTTTAAAAAGATGAGAGGGGGAAAAAAAAGCTAACTGCTACTCTAAAACTATTTCTTTTGATTGGTGTAACATGCCATAACAATCACATTAGATATCTAACAAAAAGATATAAGAAACCTTCTTTCCTTGTTTCTGCTCTTATTGAATTTTTGTTAAATTGCTATAATTTTCTAGTGAACAGGTTCATCTACATCAAATGGATTTTCAGTCATGCATAAAAATCTAAAAGAGTTGTTTATGATTTTCAAAAGCATTATCTTTTAACTGCATAAAGGCCTGTGACATCTGGAGAAAATATTAGAAGTAACTTACTGGATGATCCCTCTGCAGATTGTTCCGCATCCTCTGTTTAATTTCAGCAGCTACTTCAGGATTTGTCTTTTCTAGTTTGGTTAAAATTTTGTTCACGTGGTTTCTGGTGACCTGCAGAAGTTGCTCCATAGTATTCCAGAGTTCATTAGGTTTGGACAAATCCAACACAAGAACTACAGCAAATGACCTATTAAAAAAGGAATTATTTGGTCAAACCTTTAGTGCATGAGACAGAGTATATTTTCATATACAGCCATACCTGTAGAACAGATGGTGAAAGCAACAAACGTGAAAATACCAATGCTAAGATAGCATTAAATGTGACAACAAAGGGTGGTGGCTTTTAAGGATACTCTGAGCTCTGAAAAAACCTTTCCAGTGTCTCTTGTTCAGAACTATTCCTTTGGCAACTTTCCATCAGAGGTTTTGGTGGACTGTATATATCAAACTTTGTTTCTGGATACTTTGTGTCAAAGCAGTAAAATATACAAATATCTGGAGCTCACTTAGCTCCTTCTTCCTGTATGACTGGGCACTTCTACCATCATGTATCCCTGCCATCTCAAAACTCTGCAGTCCTAGATGAAACAATGTTATCAAATGGTTAGGATCTTTCTTAAACCAGGACATAATGTATTAGAAAGTTCTATACTTTCATTATTCTTTTGTAATATGAAGTGGAAAATAAACGGTTAAGAGCAATATTCTATGTGATGGAGTGTGCTAATTAGCTGGAACCTCAAATGAGCGTATGAGAGAAAGATAAACAGAAGTCATTAAAGTACTTAAGACATACTTAGCAATTACCAGGCTTTTAAAGGTGGATTATGGTAAGAAATGTTTTACATATAAAGTCCTCTCCTTCCGAAACCTTGCCTCCCAAAACTGCATTAAAGTGCAACTGTATAGATGAACCTCACAAATGCAGTCATTTGGCTGGATGCACTCATTCTTTCAAATTCCATGCTGACTTGAGAAAGGGGATTCCAGACCAGAGTGGTATTAGAAAGACTACAAGGCAAAGCAAATGTTCAATTTCACTTTAAAGTGCTGGAAGAGGAAATCTGGTGAAAGGTCTCTTGGTGAAACTAGATATAGTTCATCAAGCTTTTAAATAAGCAAATTGCTTGGCTACAGACAGATGAGAAAACCAGCAAGAAGTATGATATTCTCATCAGATGGTCACTTCCCAAAAATCCAGAGATTTTATTTTTCCACAATTTTTTGCCTTCTTTTCCACCCTAAAATACCGTCCCTCACAGAGATAGCATCTACGTTTGCATACAGAAGTAGGAAGTCCTATTTTATTTTTTGTAAGCCTCAAAGTTGCTGCTTCTGTTCTTTCACAGAACAGAGATACTACATCTTCCCTTTTTCTGTATCTCTTGTTCTATCTGCTTAAGGGCAGCTCATTTCATGTTATTGCTTTCTCTTGTTGTTGGAGATTGCCAAGTACTTGGGTTATTAGGAGAGAATCATCTAAATGTACATCAGAGTATCAGTGTTATTATCATGAATTTTAGAAAAATTAATAAAGGTTCTATCTTATCTTATTTTGAAAGAGTTTTCCACAGTGAAAAGTCTAGAGATTTACTTATGTTTGAATGAAAGCTGAAATTACTTTGGATTTGTAATATTAATCACTTACCTTATGTTGTTGATAGTGATCGGTATTCGAATCAGTTCCATTAATGAGGTTCCACCACCCAGTTCCCAAAAATGAGCTATATCTTTCGGCTGTAAAGAAGTTGCTTTATATTAGAAACGTGCGCTTCCATGCAACACCAAGAGAAGATCTCCATATGAGATCATATGGAGTATGATAAACAGGCAAGTGATTCGGAACAAGAGCATATATTATTTCACTAGTATGTTCTAAAAAGCAAAACCAATCAAAAAAAACCCCACAAACCTATGTTCAAGAAATATACAACACTTACAAAAGACTCCTGGCATGCCTATGACTGTCCTGACAAATGATTACAGTAAAGCAAAAAAGTCAGGCAGCAGCATGACTAATGACAAGCATTAAAAAATTGGGTTCTCTTCCCTTTCTTTTTGTTGGTTTTTTGCAGCTCAAGTTTAAGGATTTTTGAGAAGTTTGCAGCTGGAAAAGTAATGAATCTCTACCTTCACATTTAGTTTCTGGGAAAAGTTTTAAGTGATTTTCATCCTTCAGACAGATTTTCCACTCCCTGCTTCAGTAATAGGAACAGCAGCAATTACCTGCAGCGATTGTTATCGCTGCTGGGCAGTGCTGTGCTACGAGGGGAATAGGTTCAGTGTTTCTGATAACATATGCAGCACAAAACTTAGTCATATGGACACAACACCCAAAATGTTAATTTTAACTTAGCTTCCTCTAAGATGACTGCTTCTCTCATAAAAATGATTGTAAAGTAACTTCATTGGTTTGTACTAATTTTGCATTTTAAAAACAAAGTTAAAGGCACACTTTGGTCCCTTATCTTCTGCGTTCTAGTGAGAGGGAAAGACGTATTACAGATTAAAATACAAAATTATGCTAGCTAATTTTAATAAAATTATATTCAAAAAACCCTTTTTGTTTCACAAATAATAAGCTAAAAACCCTAAAGTTCTTATTCATAAAAATAAAACACATATATTCTAGATATATATGAAAAAAGACATAGTAAAGTATGCTTTCCAGATACTCACTGTATTTTGTCTCCTTGTCCTTCTTCCAAAAGTGTATTCTAAAGCTAATGTTGGCTTTGGAATCTCCTCCCTATGCAAGGAAAAATAACTTCATTTTGTCAAGATCCTCTACATAAAGAAAGTTAATTCTACTGCTAATATTTATCAGTCATTTCAGGATTTGGCTTAGAAACATCAGTACAGAGAAGACAGCAGTTCTCAGTTGCTGAAGACAGGAGAAGTAGCAGCACCAACCTGCACAGATGGCATTTAAGCTCTCTAATACTGGAGGAGAAGGACTGAAGGGGTCAGATGACAGGTAGTAATGAAGGGAAATAAGTTTATCCATAAGTGATCAACTGGTCACAGGAGACATACATATACATATGTTATTGATGATCACACAACATTTATTATTGTTTGTTAATCATTACATTGTTTATTATTGTTCTTATATAATTATACATTGTTAATTTATGTAAAATTCTAATCCACAGCTGAAAAAACTCAACACATACCTCTCAAGACACCTCAGTATAATAGTGGTCTTTCCCTGGAAATAAAAACCAAAGAACCCTACTAAAGCGTCATTAAAACAAAAAAGTCGTATCAGTAAATGAAACTCACAGATTTAACATTCCAGTAAAAAAGGCACCATAAAAGTGTAAACTCATGTAATTGTTTGTAGCCTTATAGTGGAAACTTAACTGCCAACTTTCTGTCAGAATCAAGTTACACTACCATTATTATAATTATAAACTGTAACAGATGACAAATACAGTAATATAGTGTGCTTAAAATTAGACATTAGTGATAAGCCTAGCCAACTCCGTTAACCATTTTTAATTATTTATTAACATTTGTTTATTTAATGTTTGGTTTCCACTGGAATTAAATTATTATTGATGAGAGGAAATAAAAAGAATTCTTAAAATACAAATAAAAATACAGAAAAAGAGGTCTTTACACTGTTGAAATTCAGACAGTGAGTACCACGCACACTGAGGTGGCTAGCACTTCTACAGTTTACTCCTGTGTCCTTTCCTATCTCAAAAATCAGTGAATTTCAGGTAAGTCTGAGATCAGGTAAACTCACTGTATTATCTCTGGAAAAAGTACTTTTAAAATTGCTGATCAGAGGTTGTACATGTACCAATCTTTCTAAAATAAAAACTGTATTCTTAAAAATATGACTCACTTTGTCAAAACGGCAAGTATTTCCTTATTTAATTTTCAAATAAATGCTAACAAAAGAAAAATACGAAGTTATGAATGACCCACCATAGGGGACAGTAAGGTAAAACAACTTCAGACATGCAGAATTGTGAGCTTGCAATCACTGACAGCACATGTTCAAATCTGACTGACATAGATACAGACACAATTCATAGCAGGATGCCAAGGCCTCTATTTACAACAAAACTGGTATCAATGCACTTCAATTGGACTGTTACCAGTTAAACCTTTGTAAGGGGAAACCTGACAAGTCAAACAATTAAAGAGGGTAGCATTATTTCTGGCAGTTACTTTAAAAAATATTAATGAAGCCAAACTGCAAAGAATTAGGACATCATCAATAACAACAGTTGAAGTTTTGACTCTCCAAACCATAAACGTGAACTTCTGAGCTGTAATAATGTCTGACTGGTCCACACTCTGTGGAATGCCTGATCTCTGCAGAATCAGAACACAAGATATTTTGTCTTCAGAAGAATTATGTGGGCCACATACTTATCAGGTATTTTCCCCGACACAAACTAGGTTCACAGAAAGCACAGAATCATACAGTATTTAGTTACCCCATGTTTATTTCCCATAAATAATATTGATTTTTCCCAAACTTCCACATGCTTGCCATCATCGTCAGGGTTCTCTCTCTTCTCCACTTCAGCTACAGCCAGATCCCATAAAGTATCACTTGGGAAAAAACAAATAAGAGTGTCATTAAACAATGGACCCTACACCGTAATTCCTGAAAATATCTAAATGGATAAATAAAGGGTATTGCCGTTTCTTACTATCTATTATTATTGTTATTTCACATCACATGCCTTCTGGTTGTCGAAGTATTTCTTTTAACAAAACCCGGTTAAGTAAAATTCCTCAGGTAACCCCCACAGGCATTTGCGACGTAGGCCGAGTGATTACCAGCTGTGTGATGAGAAGCTTTGTTTTGAGGGCGTTTGCGACACCTTTAAACGCTTTTCCAACAACTAAGGCTTCCCACGGCACCGTGCAGGGCGGGCTGGCAGCTTCGGGAGTCAGGAGCTGCCGGATGCCGACACCGGAGGAGCCGGTGACAGGTCAGGGGCTTCAGGACCTGTCCTCGGTGTACCGGTGCTAGAGGCAACGAGGGCTTCCACTTCTCAGAATCCCCCATGGCTACCTGCGGGGCGGCGGGGGTGCGTTAGCCCTCCGGCTCCTTGCACCAAAGGCCAGGCGTGCCTCATCCCGCCCCCGGCCCACTCGCTTTTAGGAGCAGAGGCCGAAACGGCCCCTTTTACACCTCCCTCCCTCCTCCAGGCTGTCCTCTTCG